GTGGTGTTCAGTGAACAACCTTCAGCTGAACACAACAAAAACGAAAGAACTCATCCTGGACTTCAGGAAGGGCAGAGAAGACCCGGCCCCTCTCTACATCCACGGTGACTGTGTGGAGAGGGTCCACTCCATGAGGTTCCTGGGCGTGCACGTCTCCAACGATCTCTCCTGGTCTGCAAACACCACTGCGGTGGTGAAGAAGGCTCAGCAGCGTCTCCACTTCCTGAGGGTGCTCAGAAGAAACAACTTGGAGGAGAGGCTACTGGTTACCTTCTACAGAGCCGCCATAGAGAGCATCCTGACGTACTGCATCACAGCATGGTACGCAGGGTGCTCAGCTGCAGACAGGAAAGCTCTGCAGAGAGTCATCAACACAGCCCAGAAGGTCACTGGCTGCTCTCTGCCCAGCCTGGAGGACATCGCCAACTCCCGCTACCTCAGCAGAGCTAGCAACATCATAAAGGACCCGTCCCACCCCAGTAACTCTCTGTTCGACATGTTACCGTCAGGCAGACGGTACAGGTCACACAAAACCAGGACAAACAGACTCAGAGATAGCTTCTTCTGGAAAGCTATCTCAGCAGTAAACAATAGAAACAAAACCAGTTAAAATGGTCCACAAAAATTCACACTTTACTGATCATATTGATCACTGTGCAATAAACATACAACTATGTGCAATAACTAACTACACCAAAGATATGTTGTTATATGTTTGATATACTGTTGTCTTCTACTCTTTTTTTGCACCAAGTGAGTAGTGCTCAAATCTCGTTGTACACTGTACAAGGACAATAAAGGCTATTCTATTCTATTCTAACATGAAAATGCACAAGCTCTGGCCCAGGTTCATCCCCATCCCATATTTTCAAAAGAAAACTTTTCTCACATGATAACACTGGTCAAACCAGACAAAAAATAAAAATAAAAAAAACTCAATCAGCGCAGGAATTCTTTTAATTTATTATTTCATACTTACAAACATATTGCACACTTTACAAGTTCCGCTCCACAAAAACACGATTTCCTGACTTCACCTAGCCTTGTGTTTTTTCCCCCTACTCTGAGGGATTCCTGTTTTTGTGTGTTTTCTTTGTTGTTGTTGCGTTCCACATAGTTACATACATTTACATAACGATAAATATACGTTTACATTTTCATAACCTATACAAACGGAAAACATGATCCAAGCCCTCAACAATTGTTTTCTGCAGGTTAGCCATTAGCCTTCTTTTACTATGCTGTCATGGTAGCAGCCTCCATATCCCATGATGCACCTGCACATTTAATTACACCTAAAATTAAATATAGTTAACAACTGCGTTGATCACATGATGCTAACATTCACACCTCAATCTTTTTTCGACTATATTGAAAAATGCAAAGTATAGTGTGGCAAAATCTAATTCTCGTAGATGCTCCTTATAGAACAATATTGTACCAGATACTGATGAAATGACTACATGGAATACTACTGCTGCGCTAACACATATACAGAGTTAGCGAGGTGGGGCTAAGGCACCGACAGCATGTCTATCTGGGGCCCAACATTGGCTCACACAGCTATATTAGGTACAGCTGTGCTGGCAACATATGGCTAGCAACTGCAATAACATTGATACAAATCAAACAGATGTTAGCAGGATGGAAAAAAAAAAGTTAGATCCCAGCTAACTGATAAAAAAAATATCTTATTTCTGATGCAGCACTAGCTCAGGCATACACAGGTGAAGTATTTGTTTAACTGAATCTGCCCAGAGTTTAGGTCATGATTTCAAAATCTGCTCTGTCTGAATGTAGCGTCTTACGTTTCTGACTCAAGTATACTTTTGTGCGTGAAATGCTGAGCGGCAGCTAAAGGACGACATCTACTTTCGAGGTCCCTCACAATGATTTGTGACACAGAACTTGACATCAAAGAGTATCAAGCTAAAATGTAAAAAAAAAATCACAGATGATTTTGTTGATTAGCCTGAAACTTTCCTGTAGAGAAAGCAAGATTTAAACTTCAGGCTCCGGCCAGTGGTCTGCAAAGGAAAGAAGTAGCAGGAAAAGTCCTCTCTTCTGCCTCCTCCCGGTCAACATCCGGTCTCAGTCTTGTGGGTCAGTGGTGGTAGAGGAGAGTTGGCAAGGACACGGAGACGCTCAGATGTTGAAGCTTTCTCCGCATCCACACGTGCCCTTGATGTTGGGGTTGTTGAAGACAAACTCACTGGACAGTTTTGACTCCACGTAGTCCATCTCTGTGCCCAGCAGGGTGAGCTGGGCTTTCTTCTCTATGAAGACCCTCACACCTGCAGAGGTCACAGTCACAGTGACAATCATTTGTCATTCATTCTATCATTCCATCAAAAAAAATGTATAGTTAAAAATATTTAGCATTTGATTTGGACAAAAATAAAACTTGATGAAAAAAAAAACAATTCCTAAGGATAAAAAAAATAAAATCAAACTTTTTTTAAATACAGTGCATTAATTTAGTGGGTCATTCTTTTGAAAAATACACTTAGTACCAAAATGTAACTTACCATCCTGCACCACCTCCTCATCTGACTTCTCTTTCTCCTTGGTATAATCCAGTGTGTAAGACAAACCATTACAGCCCCGTGTTTTTACTCCAACCTTTAAACCAATCTGCAAAAATCCAAAGAGTCACATCGTTGAGTTGCTTTTTTTTTTATAACATTAATTTCAATTACTGTAGCCCAATATCTACTGTAGCTCAATATCTAAGGTCATTTTAGTTCAAAAGTCGAACACATCCTGAGATTTAGAAGTACAATAGCTGCTGAAGTCAGTTTCAATTTGGTTACGGTGTTGTTGCAGGAATATTTTCTAGCTCAAAATACAATCAAAATAACATTTGTTTTATATGTCACCATGAAGAACTGAATAAAAATCTCTGGTTCAAAGATGTTGCCATGTGATGTGCTCTGAGCTTGACCGTACTGTTTACATCAGAAAATGGTTTTTCAGATTTACTCACATAGTCAGGCTTCTCCTGCAGCAACAGCCTGATTCTGTCCACAGCAGCTGGTGTCTATAGAACAGACAAAATTCATATTTTCAAACTTCGAAGAGACACAGTTTGTATTTTTACAAATTAAAATTGACATATACAAAGCTATCACTTTATCACTTTTATCAAATCTCCCCAGAACTTCATTAAATCCACTAACTTTGTAACTAACTCTGTAATTCTTATAAAAGAAAAATGAAATAATTCATGCAGTGGTAAGAAAAAAAAGATGTATTTATTAATTTCCATTGCCTCCCACAATGCAATAGTTCTGCACCCAATGAGGAGCCTGACCCCCATTTTGGGAACCATTGTCCTAAATATCGCTGTTTGTATCTGGAGCTTTTACGTGACATCACAACTTTGCAGTACCATATTGTTACGTGTACTATTGAGCAGGATGTATTGGGCAGAAACTTAGTATTTTACAGTTACTTCATCAGCTCGTATTTATCAGCTCACATCACCAGACTGTCACTTTATCATGCGGCACCAGAGCGAGTAGACTCCCCACCCCACACCCAAAACAAACCATTTGTCTGTTAACATAACGCTTTTTACCGAGTATTTATTTTAGAGCTTAGCTTCCTAGATTTTATATTGACTCAACTTTTAAGGTAAACAAAAATAACATCGCAAATACATAGCAGTATTTAATTCTTCGAGAAAACCGACCGTTTCCAACTTATATTACTAAATTAAACACTTTTTATATAACTGAATATGGTTATAAATAGTCTTGAAGCTAAACGGTCGAACGTTATACAGTTATGCTATAACATACAACTTTGGTCGCGGTCCAACAAACTTTTCCTGTCAAGAGGTCATTAGTATCTTATCTATAATTCCTCATTAAGCCATAAAACCAGAAATTAATAATATATGACGCCATTTCAGACCTGGCAACAACTCGCTACTCTGACCATACATACAAGATGTGGCTTTTAAGACACAGAGTTTTGTCAGACATTAAAAGTCAGGCTAACGTCATCGTTGCAAAAGCAGCTAACTAGCCTAGCTAGCTTATCTAACTTCCAAATACGTAATAGCGTGAGTGGCAGTTGGCGTCAAAGCTTTACGAATAAATTCCACATGTAGACTGGATATTAACTGACATGATCACCAACGCAACGGCGCTGTAAACTTACCAGGGTCAGTGCAGCTTTAGTGGGTAGAATCTTCCTTTTACTGACCGCTCGAACGGTCGCCCTCACCAAGGAGGCAGACATGTTGTTACTGTGTAAAAACACAACATTGAACTGCGCATGTGTGTAAAAAGCGCCGCCCAATGCACTTTCCTTTTACTGATTGGTTCATATTTTGATTGAGTGAAGTGTTGTCCAACAGAATTACATAAACCAATATTGGGATTAACTGATTTTTCCTGTTGCGAATTACTGACCTGAAAAGAGAGAAGAAACGAAGCATGGTCTGGACCTGTAATTTAAGGTATTATTGAAGCAAAAACAAAATCACATTTTTAAAAAAGTACACAAAAACATTGAGAAAAGATAAAACAAAACACGTCTAAAGTAATAATAACGGCAAAAAGATAAACGTGTAAATGACCATGTATTTACGGTAGAATCGAATATTATATTATATTTTATATTCCAGTTAACAAAAAATAAAAGAAGAGATCAAAGTAGATCCTTTAATAAATAAATTCCTACGTAGAACGTTTGCATGAATCAGCAGTGGGAATTTCTGGAGAACCTCATTGTCTTATGTCATTGTATCATTTTTGTTTTTATTTTACGTGTAATTTCTTTATGCTTTAAGTGATCCTCATCTTATTTTGTGGCGCACTTTTAGTCATTTTAACATGCTTACCAAATAAAGTTGGACTGCAACAGCAAATGTATGTTACCACCAGGGGTGCTGTTGAGAGTTGAATTGTCCAGATCATCCATCCATCCATTTTCATCCGCTTATCCGTTACCGGGTCACGAGGGCAGCAGTCTCCATGACCGCCACCCAAATCACACTGCACCTTACCATGCCCCCGAACCTTTCTGCGGGTGGCGAGTCCACTGGAAGGTACCAACCGCCCTAACTGATTCGATCTCTATAAAACACAATTGTTCATTCAATGTTTTAAATGCCAGCTACAAAACTAGATCCTGTAACTAATTTAATTCCCGATAAAGATATTCACACACGTTCTTTGTATAAAAACAATTCACAGTGAAATAAAATAAAAAGTCCAAACCAGTTTGATTTCTTGTTTTTATTGAATGGTAAACGGCACATTTATTACCAGCTAGAACAGGCTTTTTGGTAATAAAATTCAGCCTTAATCAGGACAATGACGCCACACAGGCCATATTTAACTGTGGACAACAAAAGTACTTCTTCAAAACATCAACAAGCAGCAGGAAGAGAGGAGTATGTGTGCCCTTGGTGCAGCTACTGACAATTACTACAAAATAACACCTTTGAGGCAAATAAATATATTCAAATTACCGCTGAAGCAAAAAACAAAACAAAAACATTTCCATTAACATGTGAACACAGGAGTTACAGCAGGATGTGATATTTACTGCAGTACCTGATTAAAAAAAAAAAAAAAGTACACTAAGTATAGGCATGGTACTTAGAGGTGGCCTTCCACTAACTGTTTGTGGAGGCGGTGGAAGTATTACCAAAAAAAAAAGTACACCAAGTATAGGCATGGTACTTCCCTTCCACTGGCCTTCCACTAACTGTTTGTGTACTGTTTGTGGTGGCGGTGGAATTATTACAGAAAAAATAAATCAGTTATTTTTTTTTTTTTTTACAGTTACAGAAACAAAAGCTGAAGCTGCTTTCAAAGCTGAAAAAATGCTTGAATTAAACGTGGTTGTAAAAGAAATATCTTTTCTTAAAAAAAAAATTCGTTACAACTCTCTGCTGTCAGTTGAAACATTTGGAACCCACATTCTTAAAACTTAGAATTAAAAATATAAACATAGGTGATGATGATGATCCTGGTGTCCAGTCTAAACCTGTGTTTAATGGGAAATAACAACAAACGTGACAACTTACTGACCTCAGGTCAGTTTCAAGTAGAGCTGCAATCCCTTGGTCTGAGGTGCAGAACTAGAGCTAAACTCAGGTGAAATATTAGGAGTCGGTGTTGTACGTCGCAGCTAAGTTTTTTGTTTTTTCCTGCAGAAATATTCTAGCCCTGACCAAGATGGGAAATCAAACAAATTGCCTTATTCTTCCAGTTTGTTTGATAAACACTTTTTTTTTAAACACCTGATTAGTAAACACCATTTCTTGACGTGCTGTGAATATAAAAACTCCACTGGCAGTGTAAGTAAACAAAGACGTGGGTTGCATGTGTAATGGCTAATTTTTGTTAAAAAATAAACTTAAAAAAAAGCCTCTCTGAAGAGAAGTGGAAGAAGGGGGTGAGAAACACATAAAAGGCCTTTTTTCTGGCTTAAAGTCAAGGCGTCCTGGCTTTGGCTTTTCATAGGGCTTCCAATGACCCAGTGTCCCACACAGATCTGAGGGGTTCTGGGATTCCTCTCTCTGGCTGGAAAAGAGGGGGAGCCGGTGGTCTGTGTAGTCACAACTACAGCTCATTCCACTGGGCTCTTCCTGTGACTGGAGCGGCCAACGTTAGTGCCGGTCAAACTACCTGGAGAACCAATCAAAGAAAATAAACAAAAAAACATCAAGATCATTCCAGAACAGACTGTTGACTGTGGCTGAACTTTTTTTTTTTTTTTTTAATATTAAGAAAACCTTGAGCCTATTTAGCTAAATGACAAAACCAATCATTGATTCCACTTTATACTTAACAATAATTTCACATTTCCATACGTGACAATTTAAACAACAGTGTGAATTTAAAAATTTTTTTTATATACCTGCTTGTGGACTTAGTGCTATATTCTGTTGCTTTCCTTTTTTCTCATCTTGTATTGGTAAACCCTGAAAAGGAGACAGATAACAAGAAGCACAGATTCAATATATTGGCAGATTTTATTTTAATTAACTGTATCAGTGTTGTGATACATACCTGTTTCTCCTTCTCTCTTAGATTCCTCTGATAAGGAGAGATGGAGGAGGTAAAGCTTTCCATTTTCACATTTCCTGTCAGACATGATTAAAAAAAATTCTTTGTGAATAAAATAAATGCATTTTGCTAAAACAATGTCATTAATTTAAGAAATCCATTCTCCAGGCTCTGGGACTGGAGCGTTAGAGAAGTTATATACTGATAATTTTGTATTCGCCTTAAACCACTAGAGGGAGCCAACACCTTACTGATATTATCAGAATTCGTATGACAACATTAATAAAACCAGTTGCCTACCACAGCAATAACATAAAATAATTTTTTTTAAAAAGTTTGTTTAACCTGCAGGGTTTCTGTACAGCTGACATTCTTTTTTGATGTGGGCAGATGAGCCACACAGGTAGCAGCAGCGCTTGTCCAGTGCATCTCGTTTCTTCCAGTGCTCACTCTTGTTACTGGGCTGCTCCTTATTTTCATCAGACTTCTCCAGATAGTCTCTCTGGTTCTCCTGCCATCTCTCTGGGTCTCTCCTGTGCCTGGGCCTGGGCAAAAAAATGAGTCACAGTCAGTAACAAACCACCAGCTATACGTACATTCTTCATTAGTAAAATCGTTCAGACACGCAGGGGCTGCAAGTCCACATACTTCCTACGCATGGGGCAGTCTTTCATGAAGTGACCGATTTTGCCACAGATGCGACAGCAGCGGTCATTGGGGGCAACTTCTCCCTCAGTGAGAACTTCAGGATCAAAGAAATATTCCTGGGACAAAGACAAAGTTGGGGAAAAAAAAAAAAACAATCACAGTAACTCACATAATAAAATGCTCCTATAATATATATATATGTATATGGATAAATGAAACATAAGTATACATACATGTATGCATGCATGTCTACGCCTTCACATAAAGGCGTACACGTATACACGTCTTAACATATACGTACACGTATACATATATACATACACGTATACATACAGTAGTCCCTTGCTATTTCACCATTCATCTTTCGTGGATTCATGACTTTGTGGGTTTTTGAAACTGTATATATAAAAATAAATACATATACACGTCTATATATACATATACACATACATATACAGACATACACACATATATATACATATATATATATACATACATATATATGTATATACATATATATATTAATTTCAAATACTAACCACTTGATTCGGGTAAATGGGAGATAGGACTTTGATGGGTGTACCGAACACTGTTCTTCCATTTATGAACGCCTTCATGATGAAGTTAGTCACTGTTACAGAGGGAGAAAATGAGAAGGTCAATAAGAGGGACACGTGGAGATATGATTGAAAACTTTAAAATATAACACCGAAATTTAAGAAAAACAACACAAAAAAAACCCATACTTTTTCTGGACAGACCAGCACCCAGATTATGGTTCAAGTCAAATGGATCTGCAATATCAAGTCAGAGAAGATAGTGAATTCAGGTCTGCAAAAACGTATCAGCCTCAGTTACTAAAAAAAAATAAAGAGCTGTTCCAAGAACATGTGACTTTTCAACTTTAGCTCTTTATTATCCCAACCTTCGATGACGATGTATTTGGATGTCCACTGCTTGTTGAAGGTGGTGAGGCGTGCGCGCTGCCGGATGCAGATGACGTGCTCCCTGAAGTCAAAGTCTTCCGTGTAGAAGCGGAGTAGGCCGAGCCACAGTTCCCCCACCGATTCAGTGTTGCCCCCGTACTCTGACCATCGACTGGGCTGTGAGTGGGAGATTACGAGATGGAGACATCAGCAAATATCTACACGGATTTGGAGTGAATCTGATTGGATGCGAAAAAAAAAAACAAAAAAAAAACACTTACTAATGTTTTTAGGTCATCATAGAAGTAAACATTCCAGCCGTCGACTAACACTTCAGGTTTCTTCTGCGCATCGTAGATCTGCAACATGGAGAAAAATCTCAGAATCAAAAAAAAAAAAAAAAAAAAAAGGTTTCAAGGAGATTTGTAAAAGGCAGGGATTAGTGACAGTTATTTAAATCTCAGGTTTTTTTTAGAGATATTTCCACTTTGATCGTCACTATTTTGGAATGCAGTCGCACATCAGTTGGACAGTTTAGTGCATTGTTTCCCAAAGACTGGGTCGCGAGAGTTTTTTTTTTTTGGGTCATCGCGCATCATGTTTCCCAGGAGTTTCCAAATAATGTCTATTGTCTTGGGTTGTGAAGGTTTATGACTTTTGAGATATGGGGCCCCAGAAAAAAAGTTTGGGAGACACTGGTTTAGCGGGCCAGTTTGGGCCCGCAGGCCACCAGTTGATCAATGGTTCATACTGTAACTGTTTCATAGGAGTAGTAATGATTATGGCTGATTAAAATATTTAACAATGCAATTTAAATCCAAATATTTAATTATTTTGTATTACAAATTGATTTTAATGGTTTAATAATTAGTTTGTGTCTAAAATAATTGTCTAAAATATTAAAACATCAACTCAACAATGTATCGCAATTGGCAGAGCTAGTAACAAAGCGAAATTAAAAATTGTTAAAGAAATGTACCTTATCTTAAAGACTACATAATTACAATCACTCAAAAGTCAATAAATTCTAAAAATCCACAATGATGCCATCCGTACCTCCTGCAACACAGGGATGACAGGCGGGTTTCTCTGCTGGAGGAAGAACAGCACCATGAGGGTGTAGGCGTAGGACGAGAGGCTGCCACGTGAAGCGTCGCCGATGTCGCACACCTGTGATGGCAACCAGCTAATTTAGTAAAAAAACAACAACAAGAAATATTTCATAATTCAGACTTAATACCTTGGCAAAAACCTTCATAACGTAACAGAGAATTTTCACTCTGTTGTCAAAGGCACCATATGTAGCCAGCAGGTGTGTGTTGTGCAGAGCCTAAAAAAAAACAACAACAACAAAAAAAACAAGATAATAAAGACTAAGACAAATAAAAAAAAAACAACCAAAAAAAAAAAAAAAAACACTTTAAACACTTAATACAGAAGAGTCAGAAGGACAAAACTCACAAGTGTGTTATAAAGACTGATGTCTCCCTCCAGACCAGTGCGGACATGATAGAACTTCACGATGGGAACTTTAGCGGTCGTGATGGGGAGGATGTTCTTTAGATCTGTGACATGTTAAAAACGGAACAATTATTCCCAAATATTTACGTCAGTGACCACAAGATGTTACGGATCTGAAATCTCCTAATGCAGTGGTTCCCAAAGTTGTGAGTTTTATGTTGTTATGTCTATTTCTCAAAGCGCATGTAAACAAATAGTAAGAATAAGGGAATAAGTGTGTCAGATAAGAAAAAAAAAACGTTGTGGCCCAGTTTGTGCTCAGCTCAGTTCTGATCTACCTGGATGTTTCTTCAGCAGTCTGGCCAGACTTTCAATAATGGTGATGCAGTCAATGTCCTAAAAACATCAAACATCAAATTTTCTTAACAAGTTAAATCACATTAGTATTATCTGCCATTCAAATACATTTAATAAATTAAAATAACTGTAAAATACTTGATAGGTGCAAAGATGTTTACAGCTGGAATTTGACATTACTGTAGGTCAATGTTATACTGTACACGAAGCTTACATCCATTGTATCCTGGCCATCTAACACCATACATATGTCTAGGTCACTCTGTCTGAAGCCAAAGCCGTTTTTGGACGATCCGAACAGTCGTAGACGAGCTCCTGCAGATGAAGAAGGAGAAATGTCATTTGTGTCCAAAGATAGTGTGACATTGTAGTCAGGACGTGAACTGTTACACTTTGATGAAAAAAAAATTTCATCACCAGAAAACTGTCGTCTGACGAAGCCCTCCAGGTCTTGGAGGATGTGCTCCCTAACACTCACTTCCAGTTCGTCTGGGGCAAAGTCAGCTGGAAATGAGAATGAAAATGAGAATTTGTGATGAATAATAGATTTACCGATACATTCTAAAATGTGGATGTTGGACCTTTTGAATATTGCATTGATATTGATCTCAATTTGCGTTATCAAAAATGTCATCATTCATTTATATTCACAAGAAGAGGAAGAGTCAGGTGATGATTATAATAGTGATTAGTATGGCTGATTTCTGCCGAGCTGTTTTAGCCTGAAGGCACAGGTGAGACTGAACCACTGATGGAATCGCTTCATACTCACTATAGCACTTCACACAGACGTCATTAAGGACACAAAGGAACTCCGGTGTCAGTGCGGGCAGCGGCTCTAGCTGCACTTTTTTGAAGTCCTCGGGACAGTCTACTTTCAGATGTCCGTCCCGTTTGCACAAGCTGCAAACCACCATGTGTGACTAAGAGACAGAGAGGGTGAATAAAATGTTATTGACTTTGTTTTGCTAGAAAAGTATCGTATTTTCCTGACTATAAGTCACTTTTTTTTTTTCATCCTTTCGCTCAGTTATACTCAGGTGCAACATGCATTTTAAAATATTTACAGCCACTAGAGGGCACTCCACGTTTGTGCAGCAGTATCTGCTACTCCTGTACAACTGAAAATTTAGATGAGGTATTTTCAAACTGACAGCCACTCTAGCTGGCTTGTGCAACTTATACTCCGGAAAATAGGGTACTCATAAATATGGACAGACAAAGTCAGCATGAAAACCCACCTTTCCTCTGGTGAACACAAGCTTCGTGAACCTGTAACACAATTTTTTCTCTCGGTTTTTATTTTCGGCCACTTCTTCTTTGATGACTTCTTCTAGTGGTGAGTGGCACAGGAAGGAACCCGATGCCCCCTCCCCCCCTTCTTCGGCATCCATCGAAACTGGTGTGTCCAAATCTGGACCCTCCTCGTCAGACAGAAGCTCCTCTCCTGAAAACTCATCCACTAGAAAAAGTTCTTCGTCCTCCGTAGTGAGGCTGTCCAAGTGATGTCTGGCGAGAGCGTCCATGTCAATATCGGCGTCCTCTTCCTCGTCCTCCTCCTCCTCCGAGAGGCTGCCTTTGCCCGGGTCTACTTTTTCTTTTTCCCGCTCTTCATCCGAGTGACTATATTGCTCCACCTCCTCCTCAATAATGCAGTCAGAGTCCTCGTGGAGAGATTCTGCAGTGACTGCATGTGGAGCGTGTTGCGAGTGAAAGGAGAGACGGTCCAAATCTGATGCCTGCGCAGGCTCTTCATCCGTGGCTTTAGACTTTGACCCTGGACTGGGTCCACACTTTGGTTCCGTCTTACTCGCAGATGATTTGTTGAGAGGGAGGGCGAAGTACTTGTACGTGGTTCTGAAGCAGTGCAGGATGTACTCAAACATTTGCTGGCTGTTCACAGTGCGGGCCACGTTTCTCTTCACAGCGAAAGGATCTGAAGGAAGAAACAATGTTGTTAAACACGTACATAATAAATTTGGCATTCGAAAAGAATACATTCTAGGCTTTAATACAGACAGGCAAAACACCAAAAAAAAAACAAGTGCTCTTTTACTGGGAAATATAGAGCTTGGCTTTTCAGTTGACGATATGCAGATTCATACAGCCTCCACATTTGTTAAACCAGAAAAAAACATGGCTTTAAAAATACTATGGCCCTCATTTTCTGCAAAAAAAAAAACAAACAAACAAACAAACAAAAAGCAAACAAAAAAAAAAAACACTGACCCTCCACAGCAATACGTTTCTTTGGCCAGTCTTTCATCTCCCTGGAGAGGACAGCGTTAGTCCGCACACTTATAACATTGTCAGCCATGAAGAACTGCAGGGAGTAGAAGCGAAGCATTTGAATCCAGAGATGTCCAACTTCTACGTGTGGATGAGGTCGGGAGAACACCAGAGGAACCTGAGGGAAAAAAAAAAAAAAAAAAAAGATGTTAAATAAACAGTGTTACTGTCCTGTTGTACAAAATAAATACTATTTAAAAAAAAACAAACAAACCCAGTAGACTAAATGATGTTAACATTTTCACACTTACCTTTCCCCTGATGCTGGCGCCCTCTGCTTGCTGTGTTGATTCTCTTGAGGAAGGAGTGTAAGCCCAGTGTAAATATCCATTTTCTACATGTGTTATGTTGAAGTCTGACAGTCGGCTGAAGGAAAACAACTTCACCTGAAACGCATACATAAATTTATGCTTTTAAGAAAAATTAACAATTTCACAATAAAACAAGAGACAACACCCACATCGCTGTTCAGGTAGGAAGGCAGGAGAGGCTCTTTGCGCTGCTGTAAAAAGAAGATGACCATGAGGGCGAAGACGTACGGCGGAAGACCACCTTCCTCTGGACGGTCAATTTCACAGATCTAAACCAGAAACGAGAAGAATTTCATGTTAGAAAAAAAATGTAGGGCTTTTTTCCCCCTGCATGTCTTTTCACTTTATTAGCTTTATTTTTACTTTTTTTTCCCACCAACGATTTTATTTGCAGCCAGTAACATGATGTCTGTCTCGCTTCAAGACGCTAAATTTGAAGTGCTTTGTTGACATTAGATTTGTCAAAGATTTAAGATCACATATTGAAGTGGCCTTGGGTCAAATCTGGGAAACAAATACTGGTTTGTGCTGTTCTATGTCATATAAAAATGGGCTGCTTTTGCCTGCAGTGTGAACACAGTCTAAGTCACAAACAAAATGTCTGTATGTCAAACTGAACCCTACCTTGGCCCAACTTCTGAGTCCCATAACCAGAGGAAGGAGAACAGGCTCCTGACTGACCAGAGCCGAAAGATAGGAGGTGGTTTGGAAAGCACTTTCATTCCCTGCACTCACTTTACACAGCAGCCCACTGTTGAGAGAAAACAATAACAATTTGAAATATCTACATTATACTATTGATCACAGTAATTCACTGAAGTATTTGTGTTGACTGAACCCACCTCTTCTTCTCTTTGCAGATGACAACAGGCACCCTGGCATGAAAGTCGGCTTCCACATCAACAAACAGAGCTGAGAAAAGAAAGGAGAGAAAGGAAAGAAAAAAAAAAGTTGAATTTTTAAAAAAATCATTTAATTAAATCGTGATAGTGAAAAACCGTCAGAATTAAATAAACTTCTGTGACTCACTGCACTCAGAGAGGCTGTCCTTCACCATCAGTAGGACGTCAGGCTGATGCATCTGTTAGAGACAAGTCCATTTCAAATCCTTTACACCATTGAACACCATTAAACACAACAGACTACCACCTTAAGGTCAAAACTCTAAGTGACTGTGATTTTGAACCACAAACTTTTACACAGTGTAAAATATATATTTTAAATACAAGCCAATCGACTCATTCGAATTTTACATCCATGAAAGCGGACTCACATTGGGCTACTCACATGAGGAGGATAGTGAATGTCAATGTTGACATCGGAATCTTTGAATCCAAACTTTGTGCACGAAGAGCCATAGAGTCGGACCGTGATGTCTGAATAGGGGCAGAGCAAAGAGAACTGCAAGATAAAGCGTGATGGTACCTTCAAAGCAATAAGATGTTATTTTAAACTGTCTTGCCTGGCAGGGTGGTGAGAAGGAGGTCTTGCAAGATGGAGACCACACACCGTCTCTTCTCTACATCCTGGTTGTTCATTCCTCGCTCCAGGACAACAGCTTCCAGTGCAGCACTCACCGCTGTGATCTGCTCCTGACTGGGAGGCGAAATGTCAGAGAGTATGGCCTGTTCCTCTCTCTCCTGTAAACAGATTGAAACTGAGTTTGCCCAGTACATAACGCAAAAACAAATAACACAGGCGTGCATCATTCAACCATTTCTCACCCTCGCCCTCTTCTTGTGGCCCCTGTCTCTCATGTGTCTGTACGCATGAGACACAGAATCCAGTAGAACGTCACACAGCATGCAGGTGTAAAGTGCATCAGGATGACTCAGAGATTTCTGAAACAAAAGAGGCAACAATAAATAACCACAAGCATTTCTTTGGGGTACACAGACCAAAGTAGGTACCTTTTTCATTGAGTAGATTTCATCTTTTTTCAGTCTTTTCTCCGCTTGCTTCAGGCTGTACAAGTCTTTGGCTGTTTGTGGCGTGTCTTCGGTCACTGGAACTTTGTTCTGTTCCATGTAGTTTTTCGTCCTGTTTCTGTTTCTCCGTCTTCTACCTGTTAAGCGAAAGTAAACTACTAAATCATTGTAACACAGCACACCACTGCACACAACAAACGTGACCTCTGCTTTTAACCCATCACCAAAGTGAACAGTGGCCAGCTCAAGCTCAAGTGACGGTGCCAGTGGACTCGAACCTGAAACCTCCTGGACCCAAGTCCGCTTCCTTAACCACCACTGCCCCATAGGACAAGAAACCTGAAGTTTTTACACACAGAATTTAAGATATTCCTGTTGTGGTGCTTGTGGGTGCACACAAAGTTATTAAAGTTATTAAATTTTTCTTTTGTTGCTTCCAGAACTGTTGTTATAATATTGTGATATTGACAACAAAATGTTGTCAATAAAGTTACAGCAAAATGGGATGCGTTGCAAAAGAGCATCAACACATTTTTTTTTAATCAAAAGTGTTTCTTTTTTTACAATATCAAAAACATGAAGTTATGAACAAAATGGGATTAATGTTAAATTCTGCTGCATGTTTGTGCATTTTGGGCTAAAAATGGCAGATTCTAGAATTTTTTTTTTTATTTACAGCCTATGACAGAGAAGGACTAGGAACGCAGGAGAAAAATGTTTACGGCTAGTGAGACGTCTTTTATTCAACAGCTGCAGAGACTTTCAAAGTTTCAGTTTCACTATATTTCCCTCCTCAAAATCAGGGTTGGTCCCACCTTTAGCTCTCTTAAGATGTCTCTAACCTATATTGTACATCCTTACCTGCTTTCTGAGCACTCTCCGTGTCATCTCCTTCCCCCTGATCCCTGTCCTCACGAGCGCCCTCAGCCCTATTACTCCTCTTCCTCCAATGATTTTGCTGCTGCTGCGAGCGTTCCCTCCAGTTCTCTTCTCGACTCCCGCCACTCTTCTCTGAACTCGGGAACCATCTGTTGTCATTTCTCTGTGAGGAGCTGTGACCTCCTCTAAATCCACCAGGAGAGTAGCTCTTGGGCCCTTTACTCTTGGTGCTGTCCCAGTGTGGTCCACCATGATTCTTCTTGCTCTGCTGACCATCTTGTTTGAAGTTGTGGCCTCTATCCTGGTCCTGGAGTCTCCAGTTTTCTGCCTTCTCAGACAGTCCTCCCCTCTCCCATCCTCCGGGCTTCACGTAGAAAGGCCTGTCTGAGTTTTCCATGGTTCACTTTTGCTAAAACTGCAGGATGACATGGTTGGTTAAAGGTGGGGGAGCAACAAAATGAGCTACAAGACGTGGACACAGTCTGTAGTAGAAATGAACAGCTTTATAAATATAATATTTTTTTACTGGCTCATTATATGCCTGGAGTTTATGTCTTTTTATTTTTTAATGGCAATGACTACTATTTTTTGTAAGAATAACTTATTCCCATCTTTAATTAAGGCAGCCAAGGACTTCAACAGACCACAAATTCACACATATTTAAGTGAAAGTGAATTGTTTGTCATTGTGACACAGCACACCACTGCACACAATCAAATGTGACCTCTGTTTTAACCCACCACCAAAGTGAACAGTGGGCAGCTTATAAGCAAGCAGTGTGTGGGGACAGTGCCGTGCTCAGGGCACCTCAGTGCTAACTTGGTGGACTCAAACCAGGAGCCTTCCGGACCCAAGCCATCACTGCCCTGGTGTTTGTCATTTGATGACACATCCCTAAATACTTTAAGGCATCAGTCAAATGTTTTACAACCATTAGGCCACACACCATATGCACAGTATTAATGGCCCTTTTCTTTACCTTTAGGTACATTGGTTTCCAACATTTTGGGCATTTTAAGCAGAGTTTGTCCATTGTTACCTACTTCCTCTTCACCAAATTCCATTTGAAGTATTCAGAAGTAGGAAATGAAGTAGTCCTCATATAAGCTGCTACATTGAAAAATCTTAATGAAAACGATCACCTGCCTTTCATGTGACTGCCTTTTGTCCTTTATAATGTCATTAAAATTTGTGTCACAATAACTCTAGATTTTACATTTTTTTGAATGGGCAAATGTAAAAGTGACCATAGGATGAGCAATGGTAAACATATGCTTTTCATAAATATGGAACATACCAGTCAGAAAACATCAAACGTGAATTGCCTTCAGATGGTGTAGCACAGCATGAACTTTAATAACATTTTTGGAATGCAGAGGAGCAGTGGATGGAATAATGGAGATCATCAAATTCCATGACTCATCAACAGGCTGCTGTTCTCATGATAATACCAAAACAAATCCCCCAAATAACTGCTCTGCAAACCCTCATACCCTAAATTGTTGAAAATCCAATATTTTAAAAATGTATGACTGTTTTTTGAGGGTTTGTATTTTAAATGTGTATTATGGCCTGCCAGGACAATCAAAAACTTGTTTTTGTGTTTCAATTCCTCTCAACGTATGCAACAGCAATTGCACTAAGCCTTGTTTTTCCTACCTACATTACAACATCTCTATTCATCCAGGTTTAACAGCATTAGCATACTAACCGGTTTCATGCCAAGGCACATTCAGGGTTGGGAGTTAAGAACTAAGTGGATTTGAACAATGAACCACACAGTCTGTTTCTCTTACTGTTGCTTAAAAAGTTTGTAAAAATGGAACCACAGTGCGGCATGATGGTGATGTTTTTACACAATTTAGCACTTTTTAAAACATGGTGTTGTCTGACATAATGTGACTTAATGACTAGTTTGAACCGATTGATTTTCATTTAATGTCATTGCCATTTCAACAAGGGCAAGCATTTGTTGTGCTTGACTTAGCCATGGCATGTAAATTTAACCTATATACCTTTTAAATATCCCCGAAGAACCTGGCATCCCTGGGTTGTTTTGGTAATACGACGACAAGTTTAGACTTCCGTACTTAAAACAGACGTGCAAGACACACGAGTTGAACATTTTGAAAATGCTACACAATTCGCCGTTGACCTAAAACAGACAAATATTTTTTTACAACGCAAGTAGAATATTTGTTTCCGCTAACAGTAAAGGCTACGCTCTGTTTTACAAGCGCCGTCCTTAGTCAGGTGCAAACCTCTGAACTGCCCTGCTAGTCAAGTTAGCATGTTAGCGGATACCCAAGTTGTAGCTTTGAGCTAGCAACAACTAACGCTGCTGTTTATATTGTTTTGTGCCTGCAGTTGCAACAAAGGGAACCAGAAATTAAATACCATCGACATCTTTATCACCACAACGAGCCATTCAATTACCTTCAGTTGGTGTTCGGAGTTCATAGTTAAAGAAGCGTTTCAGTCTGACTTGGCAGGATCATTTGTCTGGCATTGGAGTTTGGAAGATAAAAGTCCGGACTCCCACTGTCTGTTTTGTAGCCGTCAGCGTTAAACGTTCCGCCCACCGGAATCTATTTAAAGTTACACGCGGTTAAAAGACGGCGGCAATCGAAACGTTCTTAAAAAAGTGGCTTTTATTATTATTATTATTATTATTATTATTATTATTATTATTATTATTATTATTATTATTATTATTATTATTATTATTATTATTATTATTATTATTATTATTATTATTATTATTATTATTATTATTATTATTATTATTATTATTATTATTATTATTATTATTATTATCGTAGTAATAGTAGTTGTTGTTATATTAATTGGCTATAACCAAAAATGCTGTTAAAAAAATAAAGACTATGGAAAATAGTAACTTCTTCAATTTCCTTAATTTAATGATAATATTTTTAGTAACTGCAGATTCATTTCCCTCTTTGTTGACTACATTATGTTCTTTCTTTTTGTCAGATGTTACAGTTAAATAAACATTGTGTTTTCAAACTCGTCTCTTTATCGGAAACGATTTGTCGTATAATCATATTATAATTCCACTTTTATAAACGAATATAACTTCATGGATCCAAGCTTTCTGTAGTTGCTCCATCATAACAGACAATAACAACTTGACTAATTTGAGTATTTTAGGCTAGATAGAATATCGTAAAGACTACAATAACAAGTTTTTTAAAAATCGTTAATAATTACGTTTTGTAGGTTGGAATTCGTCCTACATGTGTTAGAGCATTGTTTTTCCTCGGTTGCCCTGGGCTGTAGTGATGTGTCGTTCGCGAGTAATTCGTTCAAAATGAACGAATCTTTCATGACTCGTGACTCCCGAGTCATATGAAAGATTCGTGACTCGTGACTACCGAGTCATATTAAAAAAAATGTTCATATTGAACTCACAAATCACTCACTGCGAAGAAATCACCCTCTGCGAATTAATCTTTAACTGTGAACTAATCTTTCACTACGAACGAATTACTCTGCAAACTAATCTTTCACTGTGAACTAATCTTTCATTGCAAACAAATCATTCTCTGTGAACTAATCTTTTGCTGTGAACTAATTATTCTTTGTGAACTAAACTTTCGCTGTGAACTAATCTTTTGCTTCGTTCTCGCAGATTCGTTTCATTTGTCACGTGACAGGGAGCTCGAGTCTTTTTTGCTCTCATTCATCTTCATATTGTGGTGTTTTTATTTCTTAGCTCTTCGCATGGTTTTAATTGCTTATGGCATTTTGTGTACTTTGTAGACTTTGTCAGCGGAAGCAAACCATGTTGCCTTCAGTATTTAGTGTCGGAGAACGGAAGCCTTCTTTACAACGTCCACAATAGGGCTAAAGCGCCACCAGCTGTAAAACGAATGAAATGATTAGTTCAATTCGTTCACGACTCGTTCATTTTACTGTTCGAGAATCAAAGATTCGAATCAATAAAAAGAGTCGGTCTTCCCATCACTACTGGGCTGTGGAAATAAACGCCCACAATAGGGCTAAAGTGCCACCAGCTGTAAAACGAATGAAATGATTAGTTCAAGATTCGTTCACGACTCGTTCATTTTACCTTTCCAGAGTCAAAGATTCGAATCAATAAAAAGAGTCGGTCTTCCCATCACTACTGGGCTGTGGAAATAGCTGAGCGGGGTAGACCCCGGCAAAAGTGATGTCAGATGATAGAACGTCATCCTATTGTTCTCTTAAAAGCAAAGCAACATCACTCACACAAACACACACACACGCACACACACAGATACATCATGGTGTCGTTTTTTACCGCTGACAGCACACTCGAAACGGCTTTTCCCCAAAAAACACGCATGGACGGAGTCTTATCACCACCAGCAGTAGCCGAAGCACCACCACCAGCAGCAGCAGCAGCAGCGCTCACGCCGGTCCAGCAGAGTCACAAAGTCAGGCAGAGGAAACAAAAACTCATGTCCAAACTTAGTGACTCTGGATTCGAGGAAGACTGGGTACCTTCGCTGTCGCCGCCAATCGAAACAGACGTAATACAAGGTTCAGATAAACCGGGACCTCAAGTGTCCACCTGGTACCTGCACTACGGAGACATCTGCTTCGGCATCGAGAGGAAGAAAGAGGCGCAGTTCTATCCCTGCAGGAGCCTGGATCGCCAACCACAAGTAGGGCACACGTTACTTAGATGTGTTCAAAATTTGGGTCGTGGCCCTTTAGTGCATCACGGGAATACATTTGTTAGGTCTCTCTAAATAATTCCATTTAGGGCCTCTTGAAATAGATTTCATGCAAGAACTTTATGACTAATCACCTACTGAATTATTTGTAGAGTACTTGAGTTTTTATTTGTATAAAATAAAAACAATAGATTTAATCTTATTACATGCAAATATTTTCCTTTTTTTTTTTTTTTTTTTTTTTTTTTTTTGCTTGTTGATATTCCGCGACAGTGGTATTGTTAATAAACAATCATAAAAATAGTTGAGGACAAGCCTGTGATTGCATGACATGCTGGTTCAATTTCCACTGTGAACAATGACAAAACTGCCCTTTTCAACTAAGTTAAATACAAGGGATGTGATTTTAGTCACATGTGGACTAAAATATTCTGTTTTTCTGCAGCTGACTGCTGAAGCACGCTGTAAACTGGTCAGCTGGCTAATCCCCGTACACAAACAGTTTCAGCTATCGTTTGAATGCTGCTGCCTGACGGTGAACATCATGGACCGGTTCCTGGCCTCCACACCAGTGGCTCCTGACTGCTTCCAGCTCCTGGGAGTCACTGCACTTCTTATAGCCAGTAAACATGTGTGTCTTTAATCATATAAAAAGTTAAGGAAACATTTTGCATCTCTGCGTGGCTCAGTTCTTATCATTTTGTTTTTCACAGGTGGACGTGCACTCACCTCGAATCAGCCACCTGTTGTCCCTGTGCTGTGATGCTTTCAACAAGGAGCAACTCTGCAACCTGGAGTGCATGATCATCCTCCACCTGAACTACTGCCTCGCTGCACCCACTATGGCGTTTTTCTTGGACTATTACACCAACTGCATTAGGGCTTCGCAGCATGTGTTTGCTGGCCATGACTGCTTTGTGAGAATAAATCCGAACACAAAAATACCCAAACAGCTTGGCACCTTCGCACAAAAGGTGTGTGAGCTGAGTTTAGCCGACTACGCCTTCAACAAATACCCACCGTCTCTGACGGCTATGTGTGCACTCAAGCTAGAGAGTGAGCTGGAAGAGCACGCAGACTCCCACTCGTTCAGGGAAGGTTTGGTGGATGAACTCTGTGTCCAGGTAAAGTTTCAGGAAAGCTACGATCCTGGTTTGGTCCAAGAATGTAAGGACAATCTGAAGCTGCTGGTGTCTCTAAATCAGCAGTCTCTGGAAGTTATGTCGAACATATGACTGCACCAACTCACATGTTTACAGAAAGACAAAAATGTTCTATGTGCTTTAATTGTGCAGCACAGATATAAATATATATTTTAAAACAGCAGGCAGAAGAAACATTCAGTAGTGAACCCTTTATTTTTGCATATGCACTGGATATGTCAAAGAAAAAAAAGAATGTAAATGTATTGTAGTTGTTGAATAAATGCAGTGTGTGATGGTTAATACAAAATTGGTTATTGTGGTTTTGTGCTTTTTATATCCAAATACATAAATAGGCAAATAAAAATGTACATTAACACTGAACAGTGTCGTATACAAATATATGGATCTATATACAGATCCTTTCCAAAAAATTAGAATATCGTGAAAAAGTTGTTTAATTTCCATAATTCCATTCAGAAAGTTAAACTTTCATATATTCATAGATTCATGGGCCACAATTTAATCAATTTCAGGTATTTATTTGTTTATTTTTTACATAATTTTGGCTTCCAGCTCATAAGATGACCGTGGGCTTCAGCGGATTCTCAAACAGAGAAGATTCAAGAATCTGGCAGAGATCCAGAAAGAGTGGACTGAGGCAGGAGTCACAGCTTCAAAAACCACCACATTCAGACGAATCCGGGAGATGGGCTACAGCTGTCGGGTTCCTCGGGTCAAGCCACTTCTGAACCAGAGCCAACGTAGGAAGCGGCTCAACTGGGCCAAGGAGAAGAAGGACTGGACTGTTGGCCAGTGGTCCAAGGTCCTCTTTTCCGATGAAAGTAAAGTGTGCCTTTCATTTGGGAATCAAGGTCCAAGGGTTTGGAGGAAGACGGGTGAGGAACAGAACCCAAGCTGCTTGAGGTCCAGTGTGAAATATCCACAGTCAGTCATGATTTGGGGTGCAATGTCCAGTGCAGGTGTTGGTAAACTCTGCTTTCTTAAATCCAAGGTCACCGCAACAGTCTACCAGAATGTTTTGGAGGACTTCATGATTCCTTCTGCTGAGGATCTGTATGGAGATGCAGATTTCATCTTCCAGCAGGACCTGGCCCCTGCTCATACTGCCAGAAGCACCAAAACCTGGTTTGATGCTCATGCCATCACAGTGCTTGACTGGCCAGCCAACTCGCCGGACCTAAGCCCCATTGAGAATCTATGGGGTATTCTCAAGAGGAAAATGAGGGGCACCAGACCCAACAACAAAGAAGAGCTGACAGCAAGCATCAAAGAAATGTGGGCTTCCATAACTCCTATGCAATGCCACAGCCTGATTGCCTCAATGCCACGTCGCATCAAGGCAGTGATTAAGGCAAAGGGATTCCCAACCAAGTATTGATGATTGATATATCATTTTGAAAGTACCATATTTTGATTGATTTCTTTTTTTCTTTATTTATTTTCTGCAAAAACAGTATTCTAATTCACAGTATTCTAATTTACCTGGGGAAACCTGTGCAGGTGCTTTGAGTTTAGTAGATGATTGGTGTGTGACACTCAGTTTAAAACAGTCATGCCCTGGTGATTTCTTTACAGTATTCTAATTTATTGAAATCCTGTTTTTGTGGGTTTTATGAGCTGGAAGCCAAAATTATGTAAAAAATAAACAAATAAATACCTGAAATTGATTAAATTGTGGCCCATGAATCTATGAATATATGAAAGTTTAACTTTCTGAATGGAATTATGGAAATTAAACAACTTTTTCACGATATTCTAATTTTTTGGAAAGGATCTGTATGTATAAACCAAATCAGTATACATATACTTGAGTAGCACACAGTATAATTGCCCTTACAGGTGGTGATGGTGTCCTTATTAAAGTTTACTTCTCTTAAAGCAAAACTGTGGGGGAAAAAAGAAAGGAAAAACTCTATAGCTCACTCTATCTATCTATATCTATCTGGTAATTTATGTATATAACATATTTTGTCGTTTGATTTTTGTTATTGATAAACTTGTTTTTTTTTTTTTGTTTTTTTTTTTTGTTTTTTTTGCTGCCAAAACTAATTTCGAGATGTAATAATGGTAATTGTTGCACGACGCTAATAGGCTTTATATGATAGGCTTTCTAGATAGATAGACAGACAGACAGTGTGAGCTGCCTACAGAGCCGCAGCGCAACAGAAACAAATCCTCTCTCTAACCGACCCCTCGACTCACCCTATTGTGCTAATCTGACCCAAGGTCAGTTTACACTTTCCGTCACCCGCGGTTGCCTCACCGCGCGTTATTTGAGACAAAACCCCGCACCAACACCGCCTTCACAACCAAATGAGCGCCTTTATCTGATAATACATTACGCGTGGCATCTCGAGCTGCTGTCACAGTGTCGACCACACAGGTGCATTCAGCGTTAAGGACCCGAGCAGAGCTGCTATTGTGTGTTTACCAACACAGGCATTTGTCAGAGTGTGTTTACAGAGCTGTCTGCTCTAATTATCCTTTTCCTTTCCCACTTCTACCAAAATGTGGCAACAGCCGCCGACCTCACCGTGGTGCCGGGCTGAGGCACATTTGGAGAGAACTTACGTAGCTCCTATTCTTTTATTGCTGTTTATCCATAATAATTTTATTTCCGTGTGTGCTGTCTATCTGTTAGTGAGTTTTATCAACTGTATAACTATGTGGAGACAATGCGCTTCACAAATGAGTTAAAACGAAAAACAATGGTAGAGTAAACTGCTAAAATAGCGTTTTCATAGAATAAAAGGGCTAAATTATATGTGTTCGAATCAAGCTTTTCCTGCATGTTGTTTTTAGAAAATGTCAGCGTTGAAGGTTAAAGATGTCTGTACTGCGAAATAAAATAAATAAATAAATAGATCTCGTTTTAGAGTGATGATTTACTGTAGTATCATCGTTCAGTCGTTGTAATTACACTAGTTTCTTGATTATACTTCATACCCAAAGTCTTGATAAACTTGCAGCACTGGCAGCATGCGGCTCAGAAGCAACACCTGCTAAAACGGCGCCGTTAAGCGCGGTACCACTTCACACTCCAGAGCAGGGAACCGTTAATTTGCATCTCCCAGGACGCTGTGGCTCCCTAGAGACCAGATGGAGGTACATCTGATTGGGCCGCTGATATGAAAACGCGCCATGCAGAAACACAGACCGGGAGAAAGTTCACTATATCAGCTCGCACCTCCAATCATGTCCGCTCACTCCTGCACTCAGGAACCATGGACGTGTCGAGAGACCAGCACACTCTTGGTGACATCTGTGCCAGTCAAATGAAACCATGCGGGCGGACAGCCACAGTGAAACACAAGGTATGATAAGACGTCCATCTTTAATGGCAATTTTCAATGACATGACAGTGTGTTCAATCTCTGGGTCGGTTCCCGGAAATTGGTCACATTGGGATATTTTGTTTTTTAAATATGAGAGAAAATTTAGTTATTACCAGTGAGTGAAGATAAGTTAGTGCCATTGTTTACATCACTGTTATTAGTTTTATTACACACGGAGTACTTTATTAGAGGTAGTTGTGTGTCACTGTTTACATATGTAACATTGCTTCATTCCTGCAGGATAAAGTACTGGTTCCTCGTAGCAGCAGTCCAGTCACAGTGTATGTGGAACTTCCTTGCGTCATTGAGCAAGGTGAGAAGGACCAGCGGGACTTCAGATCCGGGGAAGATGACACATAACTCAGTGACTTTGCACTTTAGCACTTGAAAACAGACCAATTTCTACTTGAAACTCAACTAAACCACGCAACAAAAACAAAAAAAAAATTCTTTACTGCAGTCTACAATAACTGAGGTGCAATTCTGAGCACTGAAGTAGATATTTATAGGCATGTGCGCGTGTACATGTGGGCGTGCGCGTGTGTACGTATTATCCTAGAGGCAACACAAGCTAGCACAGTATATAGGTAAAAAAAATATATAATTATATTTGTAAACATATATACATGTGTGTAGATATGTGTAGAACTATAGAAAAATATACATATCTACACATACATATATGTATGTAATATGTATATATGTTGGTAAACATACATATATATGTTTGTTGATATGTGTATCTTATAAAAATATACATATCTACACATACATATAAGTACGTATGTATGTATGGTAACATATATTCATATATATATGTACATATATGTGTATATGTATGATACATATATAGATAGATACAGTATATGTATGTATACATATATAGATATATGTATGTATGTATGTATGTATATTACTTTTTTCAGTGACAGATTTGATTCTGTATTGATAACCTGTAATTTCCTGTCAACCAGATTAAAACTTACTTCTACAGTTTATATAAAACCACGTGATTAGAAAAAAATAACTTGGTATTTGATGTGTTTGCAGCTTTCTCAACAATATCGTGGGATGATTTGGAAGAGTGCACGTCTGCAGTGAGGAGAGGGTGCGATTCCCTGAGTCATCAGGTGGGAATAAAAAACATTTTAATACCTATACGGGGAACATATTAAAACCTGTGTGGATTTTTTGATATTTTTGCATCAATCCAATAGTTTTTTGTTTTTTTAATCGAGCGGTAGATTCGTAAAACGCATCGCCTCTGTTAATGTTTGACCCGCTGTGGTGGAATCCCGCACGAACGGCCCCGCGTTTACTCAGTGACACTCCTGTCCTCCTGACATTAAGTGGCCGGACCTCACACCCGCGCGTCTGTCCACGAACCACCTCTGTGGCGCAGATCACCTTGTATCTTTCTCTTTTGTCTCTACTCTTTTGCACAGTCACTGAAATGACCACCACAAACCCGTACTTCAGTGATTGGTGGGATTTTCAGGTGAACATCCCGTTTGAAACTGTTCTGTATCCAGTATCCATTACGTTCATGTTTTTAATATATATATATATATATATTTTAAATCCATTCACAGGTGACTGAACTGGATACAGACGAACAAGACTTCGGAGATTATGCCTTGGATTTTACCGCAGGTGAGAAAGCCAACATTAAAAACGCACATCTTTAATCTCCCGGTAACGTGATGCTCCGAGCTCAGGTTGACTGAATTCCCGTGATGTTCGCTTCCTTCCTCTGTCAGATTCTCCGGCCACACTAGAGAGCAGTCTGTCTCCAGCGGAACTGGTGCCGTTTCAGGGATGTGTCATTCCTCCCCTCACTCCCCAGCCGGACTTTTGTCCAGAGTTGAACTCCTTCAACCCTCCTGCCCAGAACAGAGATGTCTGGGTGGACGCTGCTCAGTGTCAGAGCCGGGCACTGGGACAGTCCTTGGAATTTAACAACCACGTGAGTAATATTTACTGGGATAAACATATTAGGATTTTTTTGGCTTAATATGTGCAATACATAGCATTATGGGAAAATGAGTGTTATTTGTGTTGGATTTTGATTTTTTTTTTTCAAATATATTACAATATAAAATACATTACAATAATATAATACAATATACTTTAAATAGATCTATCTATCAGCAGTAGTTGAAAAGAGTGACTTAATTAAACCCAAAGAATGTGATAGAATATATTATTTTTCAAACATGTTTTTTTTTCTCGTCTGCAGCTCCACGAGACTCTTCACAGACAACAGGAGGAGATCAGCTCTCTACAGGAGAGAAACCTTTACTTGGGGCAGTTGGCCACAAGGGCAAAGCACCTGGCCTCTGTACTTGAAGTAAGCATTCCACCAAGAGCAGCACTGGCGGCTCAGTGTGTTCCACAGGCTGTCTTTGAACAGGGTTTGATCCCTGGCTCTAATAGTCTACATTGGTCTAATAGTCAAGAAGTTTTTGTATAGCGGTGTATTTCAACCTTGGGATCGCGACCTCACAATGGGTCACCTGAAATGTCTACTAATTGATAAATAAAAAAAAACATGGGTAATTATTATTCTTTCAAAAAGTATGTTTATCTATTTTATCTCTTAGCGGCTTAATGTTAGCATTATTATGTATTATTAGCAAAAATCTTGATCGTTTAACATTTTCGATAATGAAACCCAAACGCGATGCCTGGGTTTTGCAAAATTTAACCAAACATTGATGTTTAATTTTGAATTTTCATGGCTGGATGAAGTTAAGTCAGTTTTATTTTGTACAGCCCAAGTCATAAAAACAATATATTTCTAATCTAATCTAATCTAATATATTTCCAATGTAGAATACCTAATTAAACATTTAAATGATATTGATTTTATTTCTTCATTCAGAAACTAATGACAGTCAGAGACCCCAATGAAAACGAGCCTGTTCTGACCCCTGGAGTCAAACTTTCACTCAGTCCCTGTAAGAGGCAGCGCCTGGACGAAGGATATGAAACAGAAGCATCCGATTCCGTGGAGGACATCCTGCGGGACATCAGCACCCGCTGCAATGCCGTCCTGCACGGTACCATTACCGAAACTGCGGTAGCGCAGGATGCCCCAGAGACCCAAATCCGCACATTCGGTGCATTCTCGGGCCTACAGGTAAACATTCCCACAAACAACAGTGTGGCACCTGATGGACTGCAGGCCAAGGATTGCATCTCGTCTTTTAGAACTTCTATAAGAGAACACCGCACCATAAGGACTCAGGTGTTACCTCACGGACGTGCCTTCACCTCCAGGACTCAGGACGATGGATACTGCTTTCGGTGGGTGCCCAACCACAGCTGAGACAAGAATGAAGGACCCCAAGAGCAGATCCATCATGTGCTGCCAGCCAAGGGAGCTGCTCAGGAATTGGAAGGAAGTGTGGGTGGGCGCAGACGGCTAATGCTTAACTGATAGCGGTGATAGCTGTAAATGATTAATTCAAGTCTTCCTCAGGTAGCCATGGGGGCTAATCAGTCAGGTGGCGCTCAACAAAAGGAAACAACACTGCCTGAGCTGGTGTTTACATTCACTTGTGTCTGTTTACAAGCCTCAATGTCATGTTTAATTTTGGGCCTCGCATCATTGATGGTGTCGAGGTCCAGAGAACGATTGTTAGTTTTAGAATAAAAGATTCTGGAACATGCTTTATTTTATTTTACTGACTTTTGTTTTTACTTTCTTTGCCATTCAGTGATATGTCAATAACTGTATTTTTGGTCAATTTCGTTCATTGTTTGAGCAGTGAAACTGATGCTAGCCTTTGACCTTTGTGCCTTTGTTCCCATTTGTCGCCGTCTGTGTGGTCTGACAAAGCAGAAAAACTGAGTCATGATATGTAGCAGCCAAGGATTCAGTTATTTCCTCAAATGTGATGTCTGTGTAGAAAAAGGATTGTTGTTTCTATTTTTTATTCACTGAAAATGTCTTTATATAAAAAAACACACAGCTACAAAAACACTGTAACTAAAAAAAACAACATAAGTAAATAAAGGTCATTGAAACTCAACTGACCCGGTGACCTTTTGGTGTCCGTAATGCTGTTTGTCTTTTTTTCTGGGGACCTGAGTCACAAACCTTCGCAACCCAAGTCAATAAACATGATTTTTTGCGAAACGACCTAAAAAAATCTTGCGACCCACCTGAGGGTCGCAAACCAGTCTTTGGGAAACAATGAAGTAGACGTTTGTGGCTGAGTGGTCTGCAGGACAATGTTGCTCAGGCACCTGTTTAAACTCCCCAAATATGTTTACACTGGGGCAGTGAAGGCAACACTAAGGCAGTGAAGGCAACACTAAGCCAGTGAAGGCAACACTGGAGCATCTCCACTGCTTTTAACATAATCAATGACAATAAGAAACTATTGTATTAGAAGAACTTATCTGAATTATATCAGGGCAGAGTGATGGTCATTTTACTTTGATGAGTTTACTGATTATTTTCTGACATATTTCTAAGCATCTCTGCTTATTAAAATATTATGTACCAGAAATCATAAGTTGAGGTGATAAACAATAAAGGCTGTTGATGGAATTTTACTATAAAATAAGCTTAATTTATTTATTTAATTAATTTAATTTTAATATTTATTTTATTTATTTTATTTAATTTGCATAACACACTTAACACCAAGTTCCATTGTTTTGTTTTTGTTTTTGTTTATTCATGGCTTTAAATAAAGAGTAACAAAAAGATAAGAAAAGACAAAAATAACATAACATTGACTTTTATTTAGATAGTTTTCATATTCTCATAATAAAACAACAAGTTTCTCAGAAATTAAAGAGAACATTTTTTTTCAAAGCATTATTATGAATCGGTTGCTCATTAACACTGTATCCACAAACAATGGTGCATTTTCTCAAAAGATAACTTCTGAAGAACTCATGAGTTTTTTTTCTGATAATATCACTATGTTATTCTTAATTCAACTTCCCTTACAAAATGTACAATATTTTCCTCTAAATGTATTTATCAGAAACTTTTTCATGTCGTTACAAACTTTTTCCTCATAAACATGACCTTTATGGAGAAGCTAAAGGTATTTAGTTTAACTTAATAAAATAAAGATATTATTCTTAAAGCAACTCACCTCACCTCACTCACAACCTGATATAATGTGACGCATTTATCCTCAGGTTACAACATGAATCAGTTTAGACCTTAATCTCGTGGCCTTGACCTTAAAGACGACAACGACGGTCGCCATTAACAACTGAAACTCCTGCTGCCAACGTAAACCAACAGGACGCCTGTAGTCAACACAAACTTAAGCCTCAAGCCGCGTCTGGAGCCACTTGTACTGCCGCGTGGATCCACAACAGCTTTGTTTGATAAGAGGTGATTTTCGCCGCTTCATCTGCCGCCAAACCTGGAGGCTGCAAAACAGAGTGACTCCGGCTGGAAAAAAAGGGGTTCTGATGGAGGAGGAGACGGAGGAAGAAGAGGAAGAGGAGGAGAGGGTTAGATGTTACAGGTGTTACTAATACTTACCTTAAAAGAAAAGAAAATACCAAACTAAAAAGTTTGAAAAGTGTTCGATTCCCGGCCAATGCAACATTCTTTGGTCGTTTTCAACAATGTTGGCGATTGTTACGTCTACTTTTTGGCATTGGCAGCTACTATTTAAATATAAAATATGTTTATACAAAAGGAACACGTACGTCATATGTTGGGGCACAATATGATTGGATTGTAACAGTATACGGTTAGTACCTTTAAACTTAACTTTAACTTTTGATTATTGGCAATATATGTATTTATAAATGTCCTCCGTGCAGCCTCCGGGGCTGGACCTCGCTGTATGAAGTTGTGAAAGTGCGCCTGCTGATGCCCACAGATGGAGCCGCCCCACTACAGGCTGTGGAGACGAGAGGGCGCAGTTGGTGGCAGCCAGGATCACACTTGTGGAGCTTGGTGTGGGTGTGAGGGCATATGGAAGTGGCAGGTGGTAACAACGTGCTCCCACTCGCGCCCTTCAACCTCCTTAGCGCCAGAACAGCCCTTCATTAAGAGGTTGCGGCCTGCGGTGAGAGTTCAGGGCCGATAGGAGAGAAAAAGGAGGAGAGAAAGACAGAGAGAGGGACTTTTCTGACTCTTCTTTATTTGTTAGCTGACTAATGCGGCCTAAACTTAACGAAAAAATGTAAAAAAAAAATAAATTAAATAAATTAAAAAATTAAAGAATATAAGTGCGGCCTTGTTTCGTTTAACTTGTTTTCGTTTAATTTCAGACAAAAATAATATAACAAACATATTTCTCACATTTAAAAGAAATCCCATAGAGCCACTATTTGAAATACAGCGTGACGAGATTTTTTTCCACTGTTTTTATTCATTATAAATTTTTGGTGTTTTAAATTATAGGCGAAACATCCTTTAAATATATTTTACTCACTTCGCTGTAGATAAAAAAAAACTTTTTGGCCATCGATATAAAGCAGTTGAACCAATTCATGAGGATCACACAGCTCATTTTCTTACCTTTACAAAAACGGCCAAATGTACCAGTAAATAAATAAATAAACTCATCCACACATTTTTCCGATTATTTCGTAACATTAATTGCTGAATTGATCTGTTGGCATCTTTCCCCAAACCTGAGTGGTTTTCATTTAATTAAATTTGTAGATGGAGATACATCAGGAAAAAAAAGTCAGGGGGGAATAGTATTTTTATTTAATCACATTAAGTGTAATTCGATAGGTCTTAATCATGCTGCTGCTGCTGCGTTTCACTGGTTGCCGCGTTTGTATTTTGCTTTCCACCTTGTTTCCATGGAAGGAGCTCACCTTCCTCTCCCCCCTCCGCCCCCCTTTATTCCAAACAAGACGAGCCGCCAATGGCAGAGCCCAGATCCTGGACAAGACTTCGCGCTCCCGCTGTGGTGTGGCCCGGGAACAGTATTTAGAGGGGAGAGGAGACCAGGGGACAGGAGAGGAGAGGAGCAGAGAGGAAGGAGGAGAAGAGAGGGTGGAATGAAACAGGAGAGTTAAGGAAAAAGAGAGACGCGAAAAGAAAAGATGAGGGTGTGAAAAGGCACAAGTCCTGTATGAGCGCCCCCTGCTGAGAACAGATATGGGTCAAAAGCTTTAGGTACAGGACAGGAGAGGAAAGGAGAATAAAAATAAGAGCAGAGAATAGAATAGAATAGAATGGGGACGGGAGGTGAGAGGAGAGGAGAGGACAGAAGAGGAGAGGAGAGGAGAGGAGAAGAGAGGAGAGGAGAGAACAGGTGCAGCAGGCAGGAGCTGCTCAGATTTCTGCAGGACTCAGGACTTCACATTAGCGTCTAAAATTCACAGAAACCTGACATAATAGGTGAGAGACGACGACAACAACAATAATAATAACTGTCAGATTACATTATTGTAGGTAGAACTGCTGTCACGTTTGTCTCGTTGCTGCTGCTGCTGCCACCAGGAAACATGCTGTAACGCATGTGGAATAAATAAAAAATGAGAGCATAGCAACAACATATATGAAAGATATACCCCAAAACACACGAGAAGCTATCAGCCCAATTGCTAATGTTTTATTTAGCAAAATGGTACTATAGCTAAATTAGCCCAGTCCTAACAAAATTCAACAATACCTGGTGCGTAGCTTATCCAAACAGCTTCTTAATTAACCACGCAATTAAGTTAACAAATAAATGTAACCAATGTTGACGGACGATTTATTTTGTTCCCTTGAACAGGACCGACAACATGAGAGACTTGTTCAGGAACCATGTGGGGACGCGAGGGCGCGGTCTTTTCCAGGTAAGAGGACTGGAAAAATACACGACAGTATTAAATATACACGCTATATAAATATATATAAAAAAAGTGCTTCGTGTTGAGGCCTCAGCGCCCCCTGGCTGCAGAGTTGGTGGTGACGGTGTGGCAGTGTACTTCTGTTGGCTGTGCTGTGCTCGGTGTCAGCCACGAGATGCACGTCCTCACCGCTGCTATCCGTCTCTCACTCTTCAGACTCTGCTCAGTCTGATCCACGACTCCTGTCTGTGAACTGTGACTGGTGGGGAGGCAGTGTAATGTAAGCTGACGTCGATGTCATCAGTTCACACACCACTGCTGCCTCAACAGTTATATTCAGTCGTCGCACCTTCGATGCTCGCTCAGAAGGTGGATGTTACGGCCGTTCCACGGTTGTTGTCCGGCGCCTGTTGTTGCTGGCTGTTCGGTAGTGTCGTGTTGGCTGGCTGAGTGTGTATGCCAGCTGGCATTCCGCTACCCTTCAGCTGAACATTAAAATCTACAGCAACAACATAAAAAAGTATTTATTTCTGTGTTTGTGTTTCAGAATCAAAACGTTCTAAAACCATTTGCAGATGCCATGTTTATAAATTGAGTGTAAAACTTTTTGCAAGTGGTGTTTTCATCCGAAAATTCCCACGCTGTAGAATTCTGTCTCTGGCACCAGGTCACGAGCTGGTCATTTGTCTCCTCTTAAGAAGAGGAATCAAAAGCTACTTTCGAAAATGTTCTTGAGCTCTGGAGAAAAAACAAACAAACAAGCTGCAGCTGCAGCTAAACCCGCTGTAACATTTTAAATATTTCATTGAGTTTTCCATTTGGGTTGTGTAGCCACGTGGAAATACAATTCAAACTGTAGTGCTACAATTAGCCAGCAGGAGTCGTCTCTAACTTCATGACTTTAACTTTATAATTAAACCGGTAATGACTAGATATTTATATATGTGTGTGTGTGTATACATACATACATATGTACATACACACATACACACACACATATATATATATATATATATTCTGGTGTTTCTGAGACTTTTCTTGTGAATTGGTCTGTTTTTGAAACCGAGACATAAATAACGTGTAGTTCATGAACTTGTAAGAAAATCATTTATTGCTGAACAGACAATTTGCTGGGCTCAAATCAGCCAAAATTGCTTCCCCCAAAGAAATACACATTAGTGTAAAAAGTTCGACATCTTTTCAAGAGCTAACCAGTCCTTCAGCAGCCGTGGTATTTATAAAGAAAATGACTCACTGGTAAACACATGCCCACATTTACACTCACAGACGCACCCCGGCTGTTACGCACACACACTTTCCGGCTGTTGATTGATTTGAAGTGATAGCATTAGTGGAACTTTTTTTTCTTCTTTTGCTTGTTTGCGTCTGGATTGAAAAAATGATGTAGTAAGATGTAGATCAGTGTCAAGTTTGAAAAGTCCACAGGTTGCATTTCCTGTCCCAACAGGAAACACTGACAGAACTCGGTAGTGCGTCCAGTTCTTAATCCACAGGCTCCGTCATAGCTCCGAACGCTTCTTTATGATTATTTGTCGCACCAGCGCATTTACCTCTTGTCGGATACTTTCAATAGGCTCGTCGGCTTTCCAGAAGTGGACCACCTTCCCGTCTGGATTCACCAGAAACTTCCAAAAGTTCCACTTTGGGATTTTCTGCACAGAATCTGGAAAAAAAAACTTTCAGGATGCAAACATCACAAAGTCGCATGTAAATTTACTCTGTTATGTAATTGTCTTTGGTAGTCTTTATAAGTACTTCAAATACTAGACTGTTGTGCGACACCTAGGGTTGGCAGACCAACGATAATCGTAGCCTATATGTATGACAATTATCGCACATACCCTACATTATCTTATATGTGCTCTGTGTGACATAATCGATTCCAAAATTCCATGACGTGATGAATTTGGACGCCTACTCAAATGCCTAGGTAACGCGCTAAGTCGTATGCCTCTTCACAGCCAATCAACCTAACACATTATACCGCACAGCGCTAATATTGATAGTCTCAATTATGATTGATAGATCGATGTAGAAAGTCAAAAATGTGGCCTTCTGAAGCAAATTATCCGGAGCTAACTCAGAAAGTAAAATTGTTGCGTACTATTTTGGCCGCTGGTCGGACCTCTCCGAGACATACGTTAACATGTAATTGCCAATAGAATCTCACATATTTTGAAATAAAAACGTTGCATTTAGAACTAATTGACGCATCCACCGATATGTTCATTCACGAAACGTATCAGACCGAGGTAATCAGAACTTCTTCCACCCACCTGTGAGGAACTTAAAGGCTGGTTCCGCCTCTGAGCCCAGTATTCTGATCTTGCTGAAGAACGGGAAGGTGACCCCGTAGTTTAATTTAGCGAAGGCCTCGATATCCCGGCTGTGGCCGGTCTCTGTGTCCCCGAACTGTCCGCAGGGAAATGCCAGGACGTTGAAGTGAGAGGTGCCCAGTTCCCGGTGCAGCTCCTGTAGAGATCTGTAGTTCGACTCCGTGTGCTCGCTGTGACTCGCCACGTTTACAACCAAAGACGCCTGAACAGGAGGAGCAGAAACTCAGCACAAGCAAAACGTTTAAAATCTCACTTTTCCTACCAACTTATTATTTACTAGAAACACAGAAATACGTCTCACGGTGACGGGTGACGGCTAGTTTGCAGCCTGTCGTGATTTTCTGAACCGACAGTGTCGATGATGTGGACTTACTTTTCCTCGGTACTTCTCCAGAGACACTGACCTCCCCTTCGCGTCTTTGACCTCGAAAGAGTAAAAATCTTTGGGTTTCCTTGGCTTCACCAGCTGCGTCTGGAGCAGGAACAGGCAGCCAACACACACCGTCATGCTCAGAAACACCGTCAGCTTCTTGGCTTTGGGGCTGGAGGACCTGGTAGGGTAGCCCCCTAACGCCTCCATCTTGGAGGGGGAAAAACTTCAGTTGTTGGCGGTGTGATGCGGCAGGAGGAGGCTCCTGCTCCTGCCTGAAGTTTGGAGGAAGAGTAGGAGGAGAAGGAGGAGGGCGCAGTCTGAGGAAAAACAGAAAGATGAAACCGGAAGTTCTCAAATAATAACGATCTTCTTCTCTGATGAATAAAACAAACAAAAACGAGAAAGATATTTGACAGCCATAATATTGTAAACATTTATATATATATGTATATACAAAAAAGGTCGTCACAACTTTTGTTGACGAGAATATGGCTCGCAAATCTACCTATTGCGGTAGTTGCGTTTCAAAACCCACCGCGAAATGGGAAAATTCGCGAAGTAGAGTCGAGATAGTTATTATATGATTTGCCTATATATTTACCCTTCACGAAACTTGCCACGCTGTTATCAACAGTCGAACAACAACAACAGCGCCCTCATGTGTCCAATTGAGGTACCCTACATTAATTAAATGCTCATCATATAGACAGTATGTCTTAGATTTCCCAAACGTACGTGCTGAACATGTTTTTTATGTATCAGCCTGTATGTATTTATGTGTTGCAAAATGTCTTTTCGTTTTTTAAATACTGTTTCCCTTGTAGGCTTGAAAAATGAAAATATTGGAAATTAAAACATTTTAATGTTTAAACATTGGATGAAAAATCCACGATGTACTGAGGGAGCGAAAGTAGAACCGCGATATGGAGAGGGACCACTGTAAGGTGAAAGTTATCACAAAATAACGTAAAACTTCACGTAATTACGTGAAACTGAGCCAATCAGTTTTCTCAGTGTGGCACAGATACTTCTGTGTAAATGAGATCCCACGATTCTTCTCTGTGTCATTCGTCAGAAATCTTAACGCTTAATATTATATACTAATCACGGTATTTTGTCCAATAATTAATGCTATTCAAATAATTTTTTTGCGAAGTCAGAGAACATTAACAGAGTAATACATTAAAGCCCAGCAACCAGGTAACAACGGTGAACCACAACAAAATAAACAACATGGCAACACTCCCAACTAGCCACTCAAACGCACCATAACAACCATAAAACAACATAAATGAACTAATGAACCCTTAAGTTACACTGACATCGCTATAGCAACACCTTGCGAAACCCAAAAGAGAATACACTGAGTAGAGCAGACTAAAACAGAACAGCATTTTAAACTTGTTGATGGTCCATTTGAAACACGAATGTATTTAACTGTATTTCTGATCACAGCTTCAGCTCATTTTCAAGGTTCTGATGGTTTAAGGACACGAGCAAAGTCTAAAATTGTTTGTAGCCTGTTAGACCGCCCCTGTCAGTTTGATAGCTGTTTTTGTTTGTTCCTTTTTGTTGCCCCTAGTGGCGATTATGTTTGTACTGAAGATGGTAAAGATTATTTCTACATATTTTGTTTATCCTAACTGGAAGTGATATGCAAAGTTTTTAATTGTCTTTGTGTGAAGTGATGACAAATTGCTGTTATGGGCAGCAATTATGGTAAATAATATAAATCAATTCATGTCTTGATGGGTTTTTTTTAATTAATGGTATTTAACTTTAGTGTCTTTAGTTTACCTTTTTAAAAATAAAACCGGAAACCGTTTATCGAAATCGTTAATCGAGTGCATTTTATTGTTAGATCGTTATGTCAAATTTCGTCCATACTTAATTTTTATATTATTTTTTTATGTTTGCTTTTCAGGGACTCACTGACGCCCCCCAGACGTCATACAAACGTTTCAGGAGGCGGTTGGTGTGCAGAGAAAGGAGCAGCTCTAATCCTCCTGCTGTGAGTACACCTCTGACCACCGGGTGGCGCTGTGGCTCAGGATTTGAGTTGGACACGGTCCGCCAGAGACTGCAGCTGGATTCTCCTCCCAGCTTTAAGGACCGAGGCTCAGCAGAGCAGAGAGACCTGCAGGAATTTCTCACAGGTAATCATTTAACCGCACAGGAACGCAGGGTAGCTGTCTGGACCTGCCGGACAGAGAGGCTGTTTCTCACACGTCGCTGTGTAACAGTAAACCCACCGACATGACAGGAATCAGTCGAAAGTTTATTCAGATATTTATGTTAATGTAGTAAGGACTTATCGTTCACTTTTCAACAAAGCAAATACATTTTTGATTTGACTTTAGCAAAATTACAAGTTAAATTAGTCAGTGTGTCCCAAAGTGAGGGGCGGACTCCACTTAAGGTGCAAAATAATACTGCTTGGGGGAGGAGGGGTTCAGCA